TGTAATATAAATAGACCAGGCTATGCCACTGGACAGAGGCAGGACTATGGGCTGGGGAAAACGAGTAAAAGCAGCACCCCAGAAAGGGGTGTGAGGCACAGGGTGCTGCTGGGGCAGGCCGTGGAGCCCTGCACAGGGACAGAGTGGCATTTGGGGCTGTATCATCTACTCCACATCCAAATCCCTTCCCTTGGGAAATACACATGACATCATCATAATGCTCTTCCTTTTTATCTAGCTTTCCATGTATACAGGAAAGCTGTTTCACACATTAAAGCTGTTCTGTGATGCAATTCAAGAGAAAAAAAAAACCTGCTGCATGGTTCCTCTGCTGAACAGAGGCTTTGGGCAGCCCAGGCTTCACCCTGCCCACATACTGCAAGAAGCTCCCACTTTATAAGACACCTGCCAAGAGTATAATTTTTATTGACTTAGATCATAATCTTTTACCCAAATCTGGCAGACAACAAAGGCAATTAGCTAAGCCTCTTTCAGTTTTAAATCTCTCCATGTTTCTACACGTATTATTGATGAAGGTCCCAGGAAGAGCTGCAACGCCACAGCTTCTGTTCTAGGCAAACAAGCCACTCCATCTGATGACAAAGCAAACGTAACACCTGGGCAGGAAATCACTGTAGGGGGACTGAGAAATTCAAGACAAATCTAAGGAACACCTGAGAAGTTTCAGCACTGCAAAGAGGGCTGTCCTTTTTGCTAAATCCTGAGAATGAGGAAATGCTATCATTTTTTATACCAGAACACAGAGCCGGATTTTCATTTAAGGAAAGAAAATAGCACTGATGTTAAGATGTACACTGCCAAATCAGAGGTGTGACACAGTGGGCAAGAGAGAGGTGTAAATTTTTCTCTCTAGGGAAAAAAAACAACCCAAAACGAAAATATCATGCGAGAGTATTACTTGAGGGGTGAGGGAAAAGAAGGGGAGGAAGAGCAGAACTACAGTCCCTGACACACCTGATAGTGTGTGCCTTCAGCCCACACTGTGAGAGATACAAAATGATGATGACAGTCTTGCCTCTGATGGAAACTGGTGATGTACCAAGCATATGGTTTCCTAACAGCACAGGGAGCTGGAATGCTCTGTGAAAGGCAGATTTAATCTCTCAGCTGTCTCTCAGTGTCCATCAAACAACCAAAGATCTTGGCTCCTTCCTCCACACGAGAAATAATGGGACAGTCAAATTACATATCCAGATGGCTCAAACCAAGTATATCAAGACAAAAGGTTTCCAATTTTAAACACTCTACTATCTCTGCTGCTGATCTTACTGCCAACACATTCACACTTCACTGCAACATGAATTTACTGTTTTATAGGTCCCATAAGTATGTTAAGGGTCCCACAGAAAATAAACCCTGACCTAAGGAGAATATATTCCTAGAATGGCCAAAGAAAACAGAACTCCTAGAAGAGAGAGGTCTAACATTGTAAAGTTGCCTCACTGACACAGAGAAAAGGAACGGACAGGATACCTACAAGACACAAATATAAACAAGTTCACCCTTATACACATATGGGTTACTCTTCCCTGTTAAAGTGCAACATTGGGCTGGAAAACAGCAATGACAGAGAGCACTACAATAGCACCAAACCACTTTGGATCCAAAAAAAATAGTTCAGCATACTGAACATGAAGGGCTAGAACAGGTGCTACTCGAGGACAAATACTTTGCCAGCCAAAACCTACAATTGTGAGCGAGCAAACACAGTAGGATTTATGTCAGTGAGCATGCCTGTTTCTGCTTTCCAGTATCACTCAGGAAGGGCAGTGCACACCCCTGACTCTGATCATCAATAATCTTTTGACATGAGTCCTTGCAGCTTCATTTCAACTGAAGCAGTTCATGCTACTAAAGGCACAATAAAGACTTTAAAAGACAGGATAAGAACAGCTAGTTCACCTCTGATCCAGGGGGAGCAAGACAACAACAGACAGAATGGAAGAAATTTTCTGCTCTTAGCATCCTCAGATATGGGACATCCACATGGGATGGTGTGTGGGGCCAAGGAGGCAACACACTAATGCAAGGTGAAACTAAATGGACATCACATCAGTGCCCTGCACCTCCCAGTGGTTTTCAGGTCATTCCTGAGACTCAGAGGAGTACTGCACTACATCTGAGATCATTTCTCCACAGACTCAGCAGGACAGGCTGCCCCTTTGGCAACAGGGCTGGCAAAAACCAGGGCTAAGCACAGGCCAGCCTAAAATAAAACAGTTTGTTCAAGAGGAGGAAAGCGTGTTATCATGTACTTCGGGAGGTCTAGCTCAGCCAGACTGAGAATGATTGCACACAGCAATGCCAAACTAGCTTTGAAGCTTTCTCACCACAAACAAGGCAGAGAGTGGACAAAGAAACAGGTTTCTTCACAAGCCTTGGGAAAAAAATAAAGAACGGAATCTTCTGAACGCACTGTGGGCTACATGGAAGAGTATTGTACAAGGAAATATTAAACCCAGGAGTTCCTGAGGTGAAATGGAACAATATCCAAGTGGATCTGAATTTAAAAGTGCCAGAATCTTACTTCATTTTTACACTTTAAGGGAAGGACTAAAACATTAAAAAGGCACCATGTGACCACAGGAAACTTCTATCCATAAAAACCTTCATGTGCAACTCACTGTTCCAAGTGAGCCGATGTATTAAGACTACTCAGATGATTCTGAGGATGAAATTAATTTCTTGAGCTTCAATGCAGTATTGAAAATAGACAGAAAAACATCCAGCAAACTCATTCTATTCCGCAACGCCTTCCTATCATGAGGAAAGGCCTACTATTTACTTGCTGTTGGGCTGTTTTCCAAGAAACTGTTATGTTCAATTCCTGCTCTTGTTAAATACCTTGTAACAGTTGAATAGGTCCACGCATTTACTGATTTTGACCAGTGCAACAGCAACACCAAACCGGTGGGCTCAGTCAATTCCTTTAAGCAAGACAGGCAGCAAAGTTGCAACATTCTCAGAAAAACATTCCTTTTGCAAATAGATTCATAAAGTACATAATGAAAATCACATCAGTTTAGTTCCCAACCTGAACTGACTGTACAGTAACAAAAAGAATCAATATTCCAGTGATAACTTCATGTTTTCACTGTCATAACTTCTTAAAAGCACAAGATCTGCTAGGCAGCACCTAAAAGGCCAGAAACAAACCACTTCGAAATACCAGGGGTTTAAAACAAGAGACAGAATTTACAAAGCATCTCGCTGGCGAAGAAAGCTAATCAACAGAGACGTGGAAGCACCTCCACAACCACATCCAAACGGGTGTTTTGGGCCATTTCTCATCCCTTTTTTCCAGTAGATGACTTGTAGGAACATGTGGAATCACCCCTGTTCTTCTCAAAGCTCCTGACCACAGCTCTTTGGAACGTCAGCCTGGGTGTGCAACGCCTGATTTTTTAAGTGCCTGGCAAAACCCCCAGGGAAACTCCTGCATTGTGGATGACATAACTTCTCTTGAAGAACTGAGTCGAGGCAAGAGTTTACAAATTTTCCCTCTCCTCGTCAACAACTGCAATGCCCTTAAAGGATGAAAAATTTTAACATCACTATCGTGGTGGGGGATGAACAGCCTTGGGGGCCGCGGAGATAGATGGGGGAAGGCAGGAGGGAGATCGGCTGGGTCGGTACGAGCATCGCCGCTGAGTGCGGCGGGTGACCGCGGGCGGGGGTTGGCACCGCCGAGTCCCCCTGCGGGTAGAGACAGATGCTGCTGCCGAGCGGGCAGGCGCTGCCCGGCCATGGGGGACGGGGACAGGAACAGAGGGGCTGGCAGTGAGATATCTCCCAACGCCTTCGCTGCGGAGCCGGGGCGCTTCCCCGACGGTCACTCACAACAGGAGCAAAGATGCGCGACAGGCGCGGGTGGCACGGGAGGACTCCGCCAGCCACCCCGGGACCCCGTTTCCTACATTACCACCCCCCAGTACTCACGGCGGGACCGTCGGCCGTGGTGTAGCGGACGATGATTTGGAAGGGCTGGTGCGGCTGGAGGGCGGCGGGCAGGGAGACGGTGAGGGACGAGCCGTAGTCGGTGAACGGGTCCACCCTGAAGCCGAGCGGGCAGGCGGAGCAGGGCGGCTGGGCGAACAGGGGCAGCGGCGGCGGCGGCTCGGCGGCGGGCGGGGGTCCGGCGGGCGGGTCCCCTGGGGGGGCGGCGGGGGGCAGCGGCCCGGCGGCGATGCAGGGCGCCGAGAGGAAGGTGGCGGTGGCGGGCGGGCTGGCGGCGCAGGGCGGTGCGCAGGGTGGCGGCGGCGGCGGGCAGGG